TCATATCTTTTAGCCTTTTGTTTCTGGTCATGGGGCTTTCTTGGCAAAGATACTGGAGTGGCTTGCCAGTTCCTGCTCCAGGTGGATCACGTTTAGTCAGAACTCTGCACTATGACCTATCTGTCTTGGATGTCCCTGCACAGCATAGCCCATAGCTTCTCTGAATTACTCAAGTCCCTTTGCCACAACAAGGCAGCAATCCGTGAATGGGGTTAGTTCTGATACATTCTTGTAAAGAGGGGCATGTCTGAAGGTGGTGTTTTGGTGAGGTAGGCTTCTAAACTAAATAATGGGACACATTCAAAAAGGATTCTCAGGCACAGATGATTGCAGCCAAATGTAGTCACACTAGCATAAATATATATACATACATAACTATAGATTTGGATATGTATTACCCAATTCAGGATGCACAACAAATGTACTATAAACTATATGTGCCTATTGGTCCTACAGCCCAGTTTCTGCAAACTGGTGCCCAGATCCTGCAAAGTTGCCCAACCCCAATGTAGACTAACATTTAGAACCATTGATTTCAATGAGTCTATTTTACAGACAACTCTATTTGGATCCAAACCAATGTATTTTGAGAGAGAAGCTGGAGTAGCTGAATCAGAAAATGCACTATTAAACCTATGATGGGAAGAATGTCTTATTTGGATGACAAGCCCAAGAATACCTCAGCTAACATAGCCATTGACCATGTAGACTGAAAATGGGAGCTGCCTTTCCAGGAAAGTGAAATTTCCTCTCTCTTCTTCAAACAGATAGAAGAGAAGACCATTCTCTGTTAAGATTGGTTTTCCTCAACTGCAAACAGGAGGATTTGGGGATTTCAATAGTAATGAGGAGCTCAAAAATACCCTGTAACTATACAGATTCTAGTAGCTTCAGCATTTTTTAAAAATAAGCACATATATAGGTTTTATGGTTGCAATATTGAATGCGCATTGGAAATTTTATTTAAAATGCAAGACAGTTGAAACCTGAATCTAATCCTGGTCTATAATCCTGCCTAGGTCTGTATTGTACTACATCCAAAAAGAAATGTTTCCAGGGCCTGAAAGAGATGCAGGTTTTGGTGCTGAATTTGACCAGTACTTCATGCATGCTTAATAATGTGCTGGGTGCTGGTGGAATTCAGTTTTAGGCATGGACATCCCGTTAAAAAAATGATATGCAATTATAATTACTAGTTTGGAGTTATTATATCCTCATGCCATTTTTTTCTCGAATATGGAATATAATGTGACAAAGCAGAACTGTTTGCTGTCTTTAAAAAAATCATGAAGAAAGGGAGCGTATAAAGCAAACTTCCAAAAACAAAGTACCATCTACTCTGCCTGCATGAAAGCTCTTGCTTCAGGGTTTACCATGGCCTATGGACAGAGTCATGTCACCAGTGCAGGTCAGACTACAGGTCTGAGCATGTATGCCTTGGGAACTCTGGGAAATGTAGTCCAAAAACACAAACAAACATCTCTACTTCAAATTATTCCCAGCAATGGTCTGTAATTTCTTTTCTGCACAAATGGCTACAGTGGGTACTCACAGTTGTGGCGTACTGAATATCCTTCCAGATGGAGGTCTCCCTAGAAAGATCTGAAGCTTCAAAAAGGTTCTCTAAGATCACTTCGCCAATCATATCATGCCGGGAAAACCTGTCAAAGTCAAAGACACTAAGGTGGAGTTTCCGGTCAGTCAGCTCTTCATAGGGTACAGGAAACTGAAAGGACTCATCAAAGGTGGGGTTAAGAGTTTTTCTATGTACGCGTGTTTGGAACTTGCGTTTCCTGTCTGGCAAGAGGTAGATCTTGACATAAGGATCAGAACTGCCACAGAGGTCCTTGGCAGGCAGGTCAAAAGCCTTGAGGATCTGCACAATCAGCGTCTCATTCTCATAATCATATTTCAAAGTAAAATTGATTTTCCCACAGGTCTTTTCTGCCTCTTTCTTGGGATCCTCAGAGTCCACAGATTTCTGTTTGTAGAGCTCGGGTTTGATCCGCCCAATGCAAGTCGGCTGCTCTGCTGCAAGGGGTAGTTCAGAACCATAGTCCACACTGGAAACATGCATCTGCCTGGGCAGGTGCCTCTTGAAAGAAATATGCCTGCAAAAGAGAAGAGGAGGAGTATGTGTCGTATGAACTGCGCTCCATCCTGTAAGCTGGGCCTTGTGTGGGGTTGGGGGTAGACTGTAGGAACATTCTTTTAGAGTCATGTGTGGACCGAAAATGGTTTAATGATCAGGGCAGCCCAACATCTTAAATTAAAGCAGATAAGAAGAATGCTCAGATTCTCTAGATATGTGAAAAGACTTGACATTTTTGGTATGGGATGTCACTACCTTTTTTCTGCTTTACTAGCACGAATCCAGAATATGTTTCACAAGCATATGAAAATAGCTGTCCTTTAAATTATAGCCCAAGAGACAAGCCGTCACCAGGACTTTCCCATTTGTCTTCCTTTACCTGATACTAAATAAAAAGTGTTTCACCAAATCAGCAAACCAACCAACCCTATGTTTTTATCTCATTTATTTTCTGAACTGGGCAGGGCAGCATTCCCTATTTCTCTCCTGAGAAAAACATAAAATGGAAAGCTGATGTATCATGGCTTAGGATTGTTTATATCAGGCATGGACAACCTGACCCCCTCCAGGTTTTTGACGATCATTCTCATAATTCCCAGTTACCAGGGCTAAAAGTCAGGAATTATGGTAGTTGTAGTAAAACACTTTTGGAAGGCTCTCAGGTTGGCTGACCTTGGTGTATACTGATTAGCTGTGGTTTCAAACAGAAGTATTTCTCTACTCTGTCAGCTATACTGAAAATATCAGACATACCAGAGCCTTATTAGAAATCTCAGTCTTGGAACCTTGGTCTTTCCCCACAGAAAACATGTGTTCTACCGCTCACTCACAAACCTTCAACCCCTACTGAGAATTCAGATGGTTAATGCCTAGAATTAAACAGCTGAACTCCTGCTAGGTCTTCCTGAATCCATCTCTTTTAATGAGGTCATGAGTCTGGAGTATTCCTGTAGTTTGAGAAGCAACAACCCTATAAACAGAACAATTACTAACAATGAAAGAGCAAATTTGAAGATGGCGATGATGTTGAACACAAGGAATTCAGCACTTTTAGATTACTGTTTATAGCAAAACATTTAACAACATTTAGATTTTTTTGCTCTTTATGGAGGTTCCATACGCAATGTCTTTTTCTAAGAAACAAGTGTGTCTTTCCCCTGAGTCTGACAGAGTGTGTCAGTCTGAAGTTGCTGCAATGGGCCTAGTTATTATACTACCATAAAGAAGTTACAGGGACATATTTTAATTTGCTCTTTCAATCAATATTTTTGGTATCTTTGAGCTACATTCAAGATGACAATGTATCTTCTAATAAATGTAAACGCATGCTTCCAGCCACATATAGAGGGAAAGAGAGAATTAAAAGATGTATCTTCAAATTATGAAAAAACTGAGACAAAAGCGGGTGCTTTAGGCAGTGTTTTAAAAATACTATAAACATTGTTTAGTCAGTAAACACTTAAAGTTTATTTTTTATAATAAAAATTTAAAAGATGGTGGGACTTTTTTTGCATCCTTGATGTCACAGCCAGCGAGTATTCAGCCCTTAGTGAACACCTAAGTGTAAGCTAAGAATTTCACTTCAGTTTATTTAACCAAAGGGCAAACCTAATAACAACAGAAAGAACTTGAAATTTAAATTCAGATGGGCATATTTATCTATCCAAGAATGGTCTTTCGAGTGCCTGACTTGGAAATGTTGGAAGTATTCAGTGATGTTGGTGGTATTAGATTAGGATTGTCACCATGGGAGGCTGGTCATTTTTGGGTGAGTGGCACACTGTCCCATGACACGCGACCAGCAGCTGCCATACCTCAAGTTATCCCTAGCCAGCCCATTCCAAGCTGAGGCACAGATCATGTTTTGGAGTCAACTTAAAAAGACATACTAAAGGCAAAATATGATTGCTCTGTGGGTTAAATCTGCCTGTTATTTTAGAAGACAACCAAAATGCTTTTCTATAGAAGACTTCCATCCATCTGCCTGTTATTTTAGAAGACAACCAAAGACTTCCATCTCCAGTGTTGCCATGCCTCTCCTGCCTCCAGATAAAAAATAATGCAAGACAGTTGGCTTCAAATCATGTCATGTTTTTTTCACTGTTTGAGACACGTGCACTGACAAGAATTGGCCATTTTTTGCCCCTTCTGCATTTAGCTTTGAGCCTAGAAAGAATAAATTGGAGGAAGATCTGAAATGAACAAGAGAGGAAATAAACAGAAGGGGCACAGCAAAACAGTCTGTTTATGTTCTGTCACTATACCTTGTTATGTTTGTGTGTGGAAAGAGCTATGGATCTGCTACTGTGGTTTGACTGGAAAATCTCCTCCTCCCTGTATCTGGAGGCGGTTCACTAGAGAAAAGGACAGCAGCTAGCAAAGGAGAAGTGGGTTGCCTTTGTCAGCAGTCTTGAACAGATCTGGACAGGCAGGAATATCTATTTTATCTTTCAGAAGAAAGTCCTACTGCTTGGTATTTGTGCTGTGTAAAGTTTGGAAGTCTACAGTGCTTAAATCCCTCCTCTCTCTATATAAATCTTTTAAAATAAAATTGGCTGTTCCTTAGCAGGGGAGAGAATATTTCGCTCAGTGAACCATTGGGGCACATACATTTAATGAGTATGAAGTGGTGATAGAAATGAGACAATGAAGATCAGTGAATAAGCCAATTGCCCAGCTTTGAAACCTGGCGTAGAGGGAAGCAGCAACTGAGAGCAATACACTAAATATTCTGGCAGACTTAAGAAAGGATGAATGCAAAGGGGTGAAAGAGTAGCTAACTGAATGTTTACCTGTGCCAGAGTGAATGTGTGTGTGTGTGTCTGTGTAAGTGAGAGAGAGAATGTGTATGTGTACATCACACACACACACACACACACACACACACAAAGAGAGAGGGGGGGTATTTTTATCTATATGAATACTCACTTTTGCCATGGCTCTACCTGTTACCTATCTCTCTGCTCTCCATTAGTTGCAGCGCATTTTGCTCCACCAAGCATGATGGGTACCTATTGTCTCTTGTTGCCATTTTTTTTTGTCCTGGGTGGTTTTTAAAATGCCATCCCTAATATTATTATTGGGACTTCCTTGCATTGGGGGAAAGTTGGTAGCCATTTGTTATTGTGCAGATAACTCAGCTTATTGCTTCAGTGTTTGCTTTTTGAAGGGGGAAAAAAACCTCAGCTGGTTTGATGGTTATTGAAGCTGAGTGCTACAATGCTACACATTCTGAAATGTACAGAAAATGGAAAGCCTAATTAACAAAGGATGTGGGGCACATTCAGAATGAAGAAAAGCTAAATAAAATGTGATTCAGGGGTACAGAGACAATATAGCATTAAAAAATTATGAATACTCATGAGAGAATAGATAGGGATATCTTTCTTATTATAACTAAGTGAGAGAGACTATACATTACAGATAGCTTATATCAGAAGAAGGAATCCCTTAAGTGCAGATTGAGTGGAACTGTGCACTAGGAATTTTTCTTACTCCTGTGCTTCATACACTAAATCATAACAATGGAATTTGCTAACACAAGATATGCTGATGGCCACTATCTCAGATTTTTTTTTAAGGGGCAAGATCAGGCTGGTGCTGCCCCAGAATCTCCTAGCCACTTAGCACCAGATTGCAGGGGTGGAGCTTAAAAAATCATAACCACAAAGACATAGCAAACCTTCACTATTTATTTATTTATTTATTTGATTTATATCCCGCCCATCTAGTCTGGGTGGCTTCCAATAAGCATATATACAGTAAAAGCACAAAGATTTTGCAAATGGTCCATAACACATACAATAATAAACCCAAAATAAAAAAGAGAGAATAAAGAAAGAATTAAGAATTGACAGGAGGGAAAGCCTGAATGTACATCCATGTTTTTAGGTGTCACTTAAAAGTGCCCAGCGTGGGGGCCACACAAATTGCCAGAGGAAGGTTATTCCAGAGGCGAGGAGCCACCGCCAAGAAGGCCCAATTTCGCGTCCTTTCCTTCCAGGCCTCCCTCGGCGTTAGGATCCTCAGCCTCACCTCCTGACTCGTGTGGGTGATCCAGGTAGATCTTGGTGGGAGCAGGTGTTCTGCCAAGTATCAAGGTCCTAAACTGTTTAGGGCCTTATAGGTAAGCATTAACACTTTGAAGTCAATGTGGAAACGGATGGGCAGCCAGTGCAGCATGGCCAGGGTAGGAGAAATATGTTGGTATTTTCTCACTCTGGTAAGGAGTCTGACCGCTGCATTCTGCACCACCTGAAGTTTCCACATCAGCTTCAAAGGGAGCCCCACGTAGAGCGTGTTACAGTCAGAGAGTAGGGAACCCCACGTAGAGCATTTTACTATCAGAAGCAATAATTATCAAGCCTAGGTGCTGGAGGATAAACAATACATGAGGTCTGCTGCCTTTCTGCTTTTATTTGGAAGACTCTTACCAAAGGTAAGCAGGATGTGGAATTAGGTAGGCCTTTGGTCTGGACCAGCAAAAAACAGAGCCCAGTAGGTCTGGGTTTGTCACATGAAGTTGCAAGTATTCCTCGCTAGCTCAACCACTGCCCATCCTGCCAAGTGAGTCTGGGAGTAGCAGTCCAAAAAGTAACTTTTCCAAGCATGGAAAAGAAAGGAATCAATTCCTGCCCTCTGTGTGGCAGAATACATGCCAGCAGCTGGATATATGTTGTTCATCCTTGACCATATCCCCAATTGCAACATGGATAAAGACAGCCCCCTCTTAGTTGAAAAGACAGTGTAAGCAAGACATTAGTGTCAGTACCTCCCAGGGAAAAAAGATCCTCACAGTTCCCCAATCTTTCTATAGAGACTGACTTTCTTTGTAATAAATCCTCATGTATCAATCCTCCATCTGAAGCTAGAATGACCTGAGGCAGTGGCTGATCTTGAACACTGAGATGCAGTTTCCTCTAAGCTAGTGCAGTGAGTGATATGTCAATTCCGTTTATCTAATTATTCCTGCTTTGAGCTGCATAAGCAAGAAAGAGAGCAAAAGGCTGTAATTCCATCTGACAGTCTGCCATGTCACTGATATGTCTCCCTGACTCCCAGAGTCCTAACAAAATTAAAGTGGCCACAAGCATATTGACAGCTTGACACAATGAGGTCAAGTCGCAGTAACAGGATTTGAATCTTTTGGTGAAGATCAAGGGCCCGAAGGGACACTGGTGTAACCCATCATCTGGTTCGCCATCTAGTAGACCTCTGGCAGAGACCAGCATATAGTCAGGGGAGTATCCTCCAGTGCCAGGAGGTGTATGTCCACTGAAAGTTCAGCATAACAGCCTTTTAATGCCAATGGCTCGACGATTTACAAGCATCAAGAACGTGTTCAAAAGGAGGAGATTGTTACAACCACCTAGAAGAGAGGTATCCACTGCCAAAGCCGAAAGGGTTGACAGAAATGATCTGGTACTCTCTTCTGCCAGATGTTTCCAGTTAGCCCACAGTCAGGTTTTTGATGACTGACTTCCAGAGCTTGGAAATAACTTGTTAACAAATAATGATTTCCTTGTAATTAGTCCATTTTGTCCAATAACAAAATTTAAAATCAAATATATAATTATTGCAGCAACCTTCATTTCTTTTGCAGTGTGATGGCATCTTTTCAGATACTTTTATAGTCATGTTGGCGTGGCCTCTGTAAGTGATGAAGGAGAATTAGCACATCGCTCAAATGCTGGCTACATTCAGATTTTTTGCAATGACTTGAATGTAGCTGTTTTAGGTACTCTTGAGAAATGAGAAAGTTCTGTTTTAGCCTGTAACTATAATGGCAATTAGCTAATTTTTGCAAGGAGAGATCTATAATGTAAGTGTAACAAATTACTTTTAAGTGTAAATTACTTTTAAAGCTAACTTTCACAGGTCTCTTGATTTTATGGAGAGCAGTTTAGCTATATAATGGGACGTTATCCTTAATTACACTGTGAGTGAAATGTGTGTTACATTTATTCTTGACAGAGTGTGAATTTTGGCTAGAAGCAGAATTAGCTTCAAGTTTCGCTAGAGTAGACCGCCCTGTATTGGCTCTCATCAACTGACACTCACAGCCTCAGTAACTCATTGTGAGACACTGGTAATAATAAAAAGTTCTGTTTAATCTCAGTTCTGAACAGATTTTAAAAAATATTGTGGTAAAATGACTCATTCCACAAAGAGAGCTTAATTGATTCATAGTCTGCTTACTGACTATACAGAGTGTACTTCAAATCTAACAGACTGACCACTGACTGAAAAGGAGCAGGGAAAAGACTCTTAAGCAGAGAGGCATGCCTCTCTTCAAAATCAGGGGCAGAGAGGGAACAATTGGTTAATGCTAGATTGACTGACAGTCACCAGCTCAGAAAGGTCCCTCCCAGCCAAAACTTCTTAAAGGCAACATACAAAAATTGCTAAAACTCCAGCATTCATCACATTGTGAAGCAGCATTTTGATCATTTGATTGTGCAGCCTGTGTTGCTATTATTTTGTTGCAGCAATAGTACTGTGGTACCATAAATACAAAAAAAAATTGCAGCAAGATCTTCCTGTTGAGAAGTACGTCCACTCTGAAATGAACTTTGTAAGTGTCAGAGCAGAGCTGGCAGAATTTTTGTCCTCTAAATATTTGACCAAAAACATCCATCAGCATGAGAAAGAGTAAGGCATTGCAAACACTGCAGTGTAAGAATATGGAATTGTAAAAGTACTTTGCCATGGAATTGCAGCTTTATTGAGACATATGTTTTTTAGGATCAGATCCTACTTCTTCAGATTACTGTAACTATTTAGTATTTATTAACTTGTAAAAGCATTCTTCATTAATTCTTATGCAGCATCTTGAAGCACAGTTATCCCTCTGGAAGTAATAATGATGATTTTTAGCTTACCAAACTGTATGGTGGAAACAAATTTGGCAACATTATGGAGCAATTCCAGTGTGTTGTAGTGCAGCCATTCTCAATCTTTATTGGCCATGGCCATAAACACAATATGAAAGAAATATAGGCCAAATCAGGATTGTATCATATACATAATAAATGGTTGTTGTAGGTTTTTGGGCTGTTTGGCTGTGTTCCGAAGGTTGTTCTTCCTAACATTTCACCAGTCTCTGTGGCCAGCATCTTCAGAGGACAGGAGTCAGAATTCTGTCTGTGCTCTGGTGCAATTTTGTGAGATAGTTGAGTATTTATAGCTGTGGGATCAGCTTTCGTCCTTTTCAGGGGATTGGGTGATTATGGTGATCAGTGTGCTTTTTGTTGTGGGTGTATTGTTGTGATAAGGGAGAGAGATTATCTGTCACTGTGATTGATGGGTGTTGTTACCTGGTCTTTTTTGTGCAGTGATCACCGGTCCTTGTGGCTGGGTAGAGTTCGTTGACCTTTTGCAGGCTGTATTTTTCAGTGCTGGGAGCCAGGCTTTATTGAGTTTTAAATTTTCTTCTTTTTTGTTGTAGCTCTGCTGGTGTTTGTGGATTTCAGTGGCTTCCCTGTGCAGTCTAACATAATGATTGCTGGTGTTGTTCAGTACTTCTGTGTTTTGAAATAGAATTTGGAAATAGAATTTCATGTCCAGCTTGTTTCAGGGCATGTTCAGTGTCTCTCATGTTCTTTGTTTCTGGTGTGGATGCTGCGTTTTGTGGTTCCAATATATACCTGGCCACAACTGCAATGTATCCGGTATACTCCTGCAATGGTGAGGGGGGTCCCTTTTGTCCTTTGCTGACCGTATTATTTGTTGCATTTTTGTGGTGGGCCTGAATACTGTTTGTAGATTGTGTTTTTTCAAAAGCTTCCCAATGCGGTCCGTGACCCCTTTCATCTATGGCAAAAATACTTTATTTGTGGGTGGCTGTGTTTTCTCTTCAGTTTGGTGCTGTTTTCTTGGTTTGATGGCTCTCGTGATTTCATTCTTGGAATAGCCATTTGCCGGTAGGGCCCAATTCAGATGGTTGAGTTCGGTGCTGAGAAATTGAGCTTCACAGTTCTGATTTGCACAGTCTACTAGTGTTTCAATTATGCCCCTTTTTTGTTGTGGGTGTGTCCAAGAATGAAATCACAAGATTATTTTTTTTTTTGTCATTCTATGTGGAAGAGAAGATTCAAATCGTAACCAGAACCCCACCACACTGGTTCAGGTGTTCACACCATCTGATGTGAATGCATTTGGTTCCAAAAATGTAGAAGCTCCAGCAACAGAGGAAAAAAACTACAGAGGAGTGGGGAGGACTGTGATTCACACTGACTTGTATGTTGTGCAGGTAATGGAAAATAATGTGGATAAGACTGTCCCAATTCCAGACATTATTTGTTAATTTAGTGCATTTGGTTCCAAAAATGTAGAAGCTCCAGCAACAGAGGAAAAAAACTACAGAGGAGTGGGGAGGACTGTGATTCACACTGACTTGTATGTTGTGCAGGTAATGGAAAATAATGTGGATAAGACTGTCCCAATTCCAGACATTATTTGTTAATTTAGTCACTCCTTTTGTTAGCTAGAACTAGGACTCCTGTCACTTTTCTTGTCAGAAGTATACAGTGGTGCATCACAGTTCTGATTTGCACAGTCTACTAGTGTTTCAATTATGCCCCTTTTTTGTTGTGGATGTGTCCAAGAATGAAATCACAAGATTTTTTTTGTCATTCTATGTGGAAGAGAAGATTCAAATGGTAACCAGATTCCTCATTCCCCTGCCTCTCTCCCTGTGGCACAATCTGCTTGGAATGGCTTCAAAAAGAATGGCTACAAACCCCACCACATTGGTTCAGGTGTTCACACCATCTGAACTGATGTGAATTCATTTGGTTCCAAAAATGTAGAAGCTCCAGCAACAGAGGAAAAAAACTACAGAGGAGTGGGGAGGACTATGATTCACACTGACTTGTATGTTGTGTAGGTAATGGAAAATAATGTGGATCAGACTGTCCCAATTCCAGACATTATTCGTCGATTTAGCCACTCCTTTTGTTAGCTAGAACTAGGACTCCTATCACTTTTCTGGTCACATGTATAATTGTTTAATAAACACAGGCTTTCTTCTTTTCTTCAAAGTGTGAACATGAAAACATTGCAAAGGGGGAAATGTGGTCAGATTATCATTCTGAGCTTCAGAGAATTGAATCCAGAATTGAATGTTGCTGTATCACTACATGCTTACTCACCAATAATAACAACTCAGGAAAACAGAGCAGGACAAAACTGATCTCTATCATTGCCAACCTCTGTGGTCCTTCTGGAAGACTTCTCTTACCTTTGGCACCTGTGTCAAATCACAATGAATTTTCTGACCTAGCAGATGGCAACCCCTGGATTGCTCAGCACTCACCTGGTAGAAGATGCAGGCTCTGTCGTTTGCCTTTGTATGCGTGTGCGTCTCATAAGATGGTCTTTCATGGACATCTGGACCTCTGCTGGAATATCTGGTGACGTGTGACTGATTTTCACAGCTGCTTCCAAGAAGCCAAGAGTCCCTGTATCTTTTAGCTTGTCAGCCATGTTTTCTTTGTCCTGTTCTGCTGCCTTCTGGGAGGCGGGGGTATTAGTTGAAATGGCCTTGTTCCTCCAGGGCACCAAACACAGCTTCCAAAAGAGAAAGAGAAAAACTGCCACCAGGGCCAGTCCACATACAATAACTATCACTGCAAGAAGGCTGATGGAGAGCTCTAGAGGTCAAAATAAGGCAGCAGTGACAAACAGAGGTGTTTGGGACAGAGGGGAGGGAAGTGAGAAAAATAGGAAAGCAGAAAATTGGAGAGAGGGAGAAAAGAAAAAAAGAGAAAAGAACATCTGTGAGATAGTCAAAAGAACATGGACAGAGATGTTACAAAGCGGTGTCCCTCCCTCCTCCCCCAACATGCCCAATTCATGAAAAGAAAGCTTAACATAAAAGAACTCTATGGGGAGAATATTTGTTAATCCCCATCAACCGGAGTAATAATTTTCTTCATTCCTAACTACCCTTTCACCAAGAAAACCTTTCCTTCAGAAGCTAGAATATTTTAAAATTTCTCAGCCTGCATCATGATGGGTTTTTGCTTGCTCAGTTTATACATTGTTGTTGTTGCTATTGCTGCTTCTGATGCTGCTTATGGTCAAAATGAAAATAACAAACAAAACAGGTGAACATTCTTTCTTAACCTCTTCTGGGAGGTCATAAAAGTTCAAATGTTTAACTGGGGAGAAACTGAGAAACGAATGACTAGGTTCTCAAAATAAATGTCAAATGCTAGCAGGAAACATTAAGAATGCTTGCTCATAACACCACTGGTATAATACCATGAGTGATGGCATGAGCTGGTGCCACTGCAGTCCATATTGGACTGCACTCACATGGGTGGGTGATTTCTGCTAGATACTCAGAAGTAGAATGGCCGGGGCGAGAGCATATATATACTGTTGGCATATATATACTGTATATACATTCATATATATGTATATGTATATGTATATGTATGTATGTATATATATGTATATATATGTATATGTATATAGTGTATATGCAAAGCAAAGTTTAATGCTCTGCATAATTGCATCCTCCTTGTTTCCAGTGCTAGCAGAAATGATTGTGCCCGTAAAGAGAGAGAGAGAGATGAGATATTTGCATTCGGCTCCCAATCGGACCCTCTCCCCTGAACCAGGGCGATCCATTTACCGTTTGTGGCAGAATTAGGAAGTAGCCTGACCGGAGCTTCCTCACCTCCTGGCACTGCTGACCAATCCAGAAAGGAGGCGGAATGACAAGTCTCCCTGCTTAGCTACTGAGTGGTTCTAGAGGGAGGGTCCAATCAGCGTGGGAGACGAATATGAATATCCCATCTCTAATATATATAGTGGACTTTCAAGAAGAGTCCCTCATTCTGCAGCTTTTATGCTTTTGAGGAATCACAGTACATACCTGGCTGATCACAAATAATACCTGATGATTTCTGATCTTGGAGAATGTGACATTTTACACAGTTAACAAAGAGATCCCTTTAATTTTTTTAGAAGTGGAGCAGCTTTGTAATTTTTCAAAAGGAAATACTAATTCAGCTTTCTCAGCTACAAAGAGTGCAACACTGTTAGGTGATCTTCAGAATGCTCTACCATTGTGCTTTTGCTGATAACAATGAACAGGAGGGGACATGTTGAATTTAGTTGTATATTCCTCAGCTGTCTCTCACAGTCAATTGTGAGCCTACAAAAAAAGGGCAGGGCAAAAAATTATCCTATAAAATTCTGAATCGGAAAGTAACAACATCAACATGTCAAATAGGTCCTGAAAACAAGATGCCTCAATATGGAAGTGTCAAAATGAAAATTGCTACAGTGCCTCAAGGAAAAGAAAGGAAGGAAGGATGGAAGGAAGCTTGTCACTGCAAGGTTGGTACTTTGACACCAAACATTGTTTCCTGTTTTCTTAAAAATGCATAAGAATAACAATACTGTGACTTTTGAAGCTTCAATAAAAGGAACACTGTAGTGCTAGAAATGCTGACATAGTGTAAAAACACCTAAGTTCTGAAGAGGGAAATAAACTTTTACTTGTAAGTGAATACCTTCCTTAAGATATTATTTTCTTCCCAATAAATCACATGCTTTGTATACAGAACGTTCGAGGTTCTGGGAAAAGCTCTGTGCTGTGAGATGTTCTCTGGAGAACACCTGCCACTCGGTGTGGACTGCAGTGAACAAAATATAGTTTTCCGTACGCTGGTAGAGTACAATTCCTGCCAACATGATCAACGTAGCCAATGGTAAGGAATGCTATAATATTGCATGCCAACAAAAATCCAGAGGATAACAAGTTGCTCACTCCTAACGAGACAATACTGAATTATGTGGACTAGTACAGAGTCCTATATGAAGTTCTTATGTTGCTTTGTAATTGAACATTTTCTCAGCACCCAGTAACAGCAAGGTCAATGGGTGGTTCAGAAAAACAGATATATAAGATAATTTTTGGACTTTCCTTTTTTTGTAAGCTGACAATGGAATGCAAGAAACAACTAAGAAATATATAAGTAAACTCCGCCTTCCTGCTCATTGTAGTAATCTAAATCCTCTAAAGCTGTGGCCCCCAATCTTTTCTAAACCATGGACCACTTGAGGTGGCAGGGTCCATGGGCGGGCGGCAGGGTTGGTGGGTGGGGGCGGAGTACTTCCTGCATGCAGATGGGTGGGGTGTGCTTGTAGGTGGGAGGGGCATGCACGCATAGGTGGGGCACACTTGCAGGTGGGTGGGGTGCGTTCACGGATGGTTGGGGTGCACTCAGGCACATGCGTGCATAGGTGGGGCATGCTCACACACATGCGCACATGGCGGGGCATGCATGGAGGTGGGTGGGGCAGTTGTGTGTGCATGTGCATGTGGAAGGGGCACCTTTGTGTCTGTGTGGGCATGCGTGTGTGGGGGCGGGAGATCTGTCTCCGCACCCTGGTCTTGCCAAGGCCACGGACTGGTATTGGGCCACCAATCGATGCGTGCATAGGTGGGGCATGCTCACACACATGCGCACATGGCGGGGCATGCATGGAGGTGGGTGGGGCAGTTGTGTGTGCATGTGCATGTGGAAGGGGCACCTTTGTGTCTGTGTGGGCATGCGTGTGTGGGGGCGGGAGATCTGTCTCCGCACCCTGGTCTTGCCAAGGCCACGGCCTGGTATTGGGCCACCAATCAGGGGTTGGGGACCCCTGCTCTAAAGGACCCTTAAAAAGCGAAGAGGCAAAGCAACAGAGATCTACTCCAAAGTATATGTGTTTTATTTTGTTAAGCAAATAACGGTTTTTAAAAAACAGACTGGAAAAGTACCTTCCGCCAACATACACACAGGGACAAAAAGAGCAAAATTTTAAAAACCCACAGATCTAACCCTTGCCTGTCTCACCTCTGTGACATCACAATAGCCCAGCCTTGCTCCAAAACCAGGGTCTGCCACCAGCTTTAGTCCTGATACCTCAGGGAACCAAATGCTCCTGACCTGTTAGCCCAGTTGTGTTTATTAATACAGTGCAATTCTGTCCCTACAGTTTGAAGTTGTATTGTCTTTACATTCATTCTGCAACTTGTGCAGTCCAGATGCAGCTTTTTTTGCAGCACCTCAACCGCAATGCCCCCGAAGATTGAGCTTACTGATACATCACATAGCGCAGATAACTTGTTGCTTTGGACACACAAAACCTGGTGGAATGGAGTATCCTGGGTAGAATGGAATACCCTAGGAATGAGTATGGCTGTCAGGAATTTTGCTATCCCTTTTGCTATCCCCATTTGGGAAAGGCAAGGTAGGAATCAGTCTAGCTGTATATTTACCTGGTTGTCATAAGAACCAATTGAGTCCTGAAATCTGAACTTGGCCTTCTCCAAGAGCTTTCTGGGCTCACATTGCTTCCTCACCTGTCTTCCCTGTATAGGAAAGGTGAAGGAACAATGCTGCTCTGAAAGAGGCACTGACTAAAGGGACACATTTTCAACCAGCACCTTGGTTAAGGAGCTGGCCTTGCTCTAGCAGGTTTCACCTGAGTAGAGAACAGTTGCACCAAGTGAAGCTAGCTCCCTTGAGGTGTGCAGAAAGCAGGCCACTCCAAACATGTACTGTATAGCCTTTGTGTAAGGTAGGAATCAGTCTAGCTGTATATTTACCTGGTTGTCATAAGAACCAATTGAGTCCTGAAATCTGAACTTGGCCTTCTCCAAGAGCTTTCTGGGCTCACATTGCTTCCTCACCTGTCTTCCCTGTATAGGAAAGGTGAAGGAACAATGCTGCTCTGAAAGAGGCACTGACTAAAGGGACACATTTTCAACCAGCACCTTGGTTAAGGAGCTGGCCTTGCTCTAGCAGGTTTCACCTAAGTAGAGAACAGTTGCACCAAGTGAAGCTGGCTCCCTTGAGGTGTGCCGAAAGCAGGCCAGTCCAAACATGTATAGCCTTTGTGCATTCCAGCTTAATTTCCTGAGAAAGAGCAGTTGACCCAATCCTTTCAATACATAAAGAATCTCCAGGAAGAAAGAAACCAAATGCTCTGTTACAATCTACACTTAGGACTATTTCATAGGAACACACTTATTTTCCCACAGAGATTAGCACAAGACAGTAACTACAAGATATCTGACTCTGTCAGCTCCTACTATCTTTATGAAGGTATCCTAAATCCTGACTCTAATAATGCAGCTATTTTTTTTAAAATAAAGGATGATGCCATATCTTAGTTCAGTCTGTGGTGAATGTGGATGCCATAACTTGGAAAGGTTATTTGGAGTACAGTACACCTCCCAGAATCTTGCTGGGTTGTAACCAGGTTTCACATATATTAAATACATGTTTTGGAACACTCGCAAACTTAACATAATATTGATTATTTTGATTATTCTGTAGATTGCTGATCAACTACTAGAGAGAGAGAGAGAGAGAGAGAGAGAGAGAGATCAATTTTAAAAATTGCTTAATTTCATTAAATTTAATTAATTTAATTAAAATATAAGGTATAATGCAACCCTTGCAAATGCTCTACAATCAGATTTGATCACATTTTAAACCGGGTGGATTCTTACAGAACAAGCTGAGCTAATGATAATAAAAGAATGCTTTTTTAAGAAATGCAATGATCTGCCATACAAAGTAGATTTTTTCTTAGTTTAAATTCTGTCTAAAGTTATAAATATGGATGATCTTGCAGCATCTGT